CAAAAAAAATCATTTTAGCTGATGTGGACAAATAGAGAAATGGAAAGTCCTTTTTAAAAAGTAGGGTTAAATCCCATATTTATGCATCTGAGATTCCATTAACTTTGAGAATGCTCTGCTTGATTAGATTTACAAGTTACTGTTAATAGAAATTAATATTTCGTAAGGCATATTCAAAATGGAAATATAAATAGCTGTGGAGACATGAAGTTTAATAATAGTGCCTGACATGATAACTGAGATCAGCAGTACTTGTTCCTTTCCTCAAGAAAAAGTCTTAGACCTTTCCAGGTTACTTCAATAGTTTGCCACAATAGCATTTGTTAAATGCTGTATGTATCTTGATTCAAATGTGCTGATTTTTAAATAAAATAAAAAGTTATATTCCCATACGTGAATTTTGAAACTACTCAGAAAATTATAGTCCTTTAAACTTATTAATAGAAACCAAAGTTAATATCAGGTACATTGTGTTTTGATGTCACACTTAATACTGTGGTCATGTGAAAGAAAAGCACATCATTTTATGTATACATTTTAAATAAACATCACAGCCCCTGGTTCATAGTAAGCTATTTTTAATGTGTGTTCAACTTCTGTTATGTAATATATTTGTATCTTAGCTTAGTTTAAAAAAATCTTTATAACTTACTTTAATTAATCTTTGAATGTTGGTAGCACATTTCAGAAACAAAAACATAGGAAGAATTATACACATATTTGAGTTATCCCTAGCAGGGTTCCTTTTGTAACAATTGAGAAGTATTTCAGCTTTTGAAATAGTTCTTTGATGGAATATCAACTTGTGGCTTTTATCACATAATTCCTTTTGCTACCTCTTATTATATTCCCCAAATAACTGTTTTCCACCTTTTGTGAATGCTAAGTACTTCTGTAGTGTCATCTTACAGTATTTTATTTCATTTCAGTAGGGAAGCAGCAAATTAACATTGCACAAGAATATAATTTTTATATTTTGTACATAATGCTTATGGTTATGTATTTTCAAAATCTTAATGAATATTAAAATTGATTGCCTGGTGCATCCAGGGATTATACAACAATCTTTTTTGCCTGTGCTGTTTTTCTTCTGCATTGCCTTTTCCTCCTCCATGTTTCTCAAAATATTAGCTTTTCTTTTTACCCATTCCATTCTTAAAAAACAAACATTCTTAGATAATAAATCATCAGTTGACAGCTATATAAAATCAAAACACATTCTTCTATGTATTTCGAAGAAAAGTGAAATTTCATTTTCTGTGTATATCCCAAAAATATTTACTATATTTTGAGCTTTAGTTGCATTAAAAATGAAAACTAAAATAAAATTGTAATATTTGACCATTGCAAGTAAAAAGAAATCCAGTGGTTTTTTGAAAATATTTAGAAAAATAGAACTTCTTGAATTAATAAACTAAAGCAAATTTACAGGCAAGAGAGGGATGAGATGCAACTAGTGAACTTCTATTTGGCATGCATGCTCTTACTATGTATAGTGCAAGCAACTAGATAAAAACAGTGATATTCTCTAAGTGGCTCACAATTCAGAGTATCAGCAGTATCTTTGAGGATTGATGGCAAGCAAATTATGTTAGCTCTCTGTTTTGTTGTGCTAGTGTTGCAGAACTTAGATTCTGTTTCTTGTAAATATCACATATGTGTTACTTCTGTGGAGTTCACTTTTGTAGAAAATTCTTCAAATCAGTGACATCTGTGTCTTCATATTTACCTTCTAGCAATTACATCTTTTTCATGTTACCAGACATTTACAGCCATTTCTCCCTTCTCAGCTATGCTGTAAGCCTTTTAAGCATTCCCAAAACATGTTGACTAAATGCTATAAAGTCACTAGATACAACTGGTTTAACGCTCTTGTTAGTTCCTTCTACCAAACCATTCTATACTTTGTTCTTGGCTTAGGATAATAATATATGCATCTACACGGGGAGATAACCCAGTCTCCTCAGCATTGTCCATGCCAGTGGTGCATGGAAAAACATAATTCAGTCACATAACTAAAATGCATAATGCAAAATAAGAGAGGAGATATAAGTGCATAATCATAGACCAATTCTCAAAATCTTTAAAATATAGTAGAAAATAACATGTTAAACAGTTAGCTATTTAGGGATTATTTTTTGCATTTATATACCTTTAATTATAATTTCAGTATTTCTCACTTTTGTCACTTAGCGGGCTAAACAATCATTAAACAGCACTCTTGGAATTTCTGGCACTAACTTTTTTTTCTAGACAGACATTCTAATATTCATAGGCATCATTCCAACAAAGACAGATTTTAGTATAGTGTACTTTTTTTCTAACATCCCTGGAAAGTATAGCAGTGACTTGCAACCTTCCTACTGTGCATCTGTTCTTTCTCTCTAATTGTTTGCAAACCTGTGTCTACAGCTGAAACAAAGCAGCTGGAATTCAGTTTGGAAAAGCCAAGGTCCTCTATGAAAAGAATTGGTTGAAGAAAAGGCTAATGGTAGAAACTAGAATGAAATTACACAATATTGGATGTAACATTAGATATAGAACATTTTTGGTATATAAATTTCGATGGCCATATTTAAGTTGCACTTTTTAAAATCCAACTTTTAAGTACAGAAGGGGTGAAAGATGCAGTGATAAATCAATAGCTAATTTCTGTTGTTTAGAGATAAAAAAAGAATAAACTATCTAATGATGTGTTGAGACTTGGGTGAGAATGATTGAAAAGGAATAATAAAAGATATGCATGAAGTAACATAGGTATTATAAATGATGTTGCTGTGAATGTGTACTAGCACAATAATTATTTCCTGCCTGAAGGGATTAAAACTTGTCTTAACCTATATTAGAATGGTAATTTTTTTAGGAATTAAGATGGGTATTACCTATCAACTCTTGCAAGCATTAGGGTGAATGTATTAGCTTAATATTTTGCAGATGCTGACAGAAGACATTGATTTGTGGAATAAGAACAGGTTGATACACCTCCACCCTGTTCTCCTAACTATAGAGTGTTGAGGGGCCCTGGCTAGCTGAATAGTAAACATACAGAAGCTATGCAGGAGAGAAGATGAAGGGAAAATATTCCTATGTAAACAGAAGTACATTGGTACAATGTTGAATGTTACCATTAAATCTTAAGCTTCACTTATCTTCAGAAATACAGCAAAATGTAGGTAGTTCACAGAAGAATTGAAAACACCAAACCTCATTTTGTAAATGTGTTAACATTTGAAACATATTACCGTAAATGCCGGCGTATAAGATGACTTCCGCAAGCGCTGAAATCGGCGCCAAAGACGGGGGTCGTCTTATACGCCGAGTCGTCTTATACGCCGGAAATACTGGTAGTTTCCGGCGTATAAGACGACGTTCTAGGAATGCGGCCCGGCTATAAAGACGGGGGTCGTCTTATACGCCGGGTCGCCTTTTATGCCGGCATTTACGGTACATTAATAGAGGAATATGAGATGGATAGCTTTAAGGAAGTTCTTGTAGTGTGTTTTGATATCCCTAGGTATTGTAGAGGTCCCAAGCTTCAATTTTCCATCTTTATAGCAATAGCACTTAGACTTATATACTGCTTCATAGTGCTTTCCAGCTCTCTCTAAGCGATTTACAGAGTCAGCATGATGCTCCCAACAATCTGGGACTTCATTTTACCAACCTCAAAAGGATGGAAGGCTGAGTTGACCTTTAGCTAGTCAAGATTGAAGGAATCGAACTCCTGGCAGTGAGAGCAGAGTTAGCCTGCAATACTGAATTCTAACTACTGCCCACCACAGCTCCTATATAATAATTTATAACTATAGTATTTAACAGGGTTTACTGAGACCCATATAATTAATTTTTTCTTTCATCTGCAAATCTAAATGACACATCACAAACAAGTTCAGCTTTCATTGTAACATAGGAATAGATGCTACACAGTGAGCAATATAACTTCAGTAATCTGAAATGCATGCTGAAATAGCAGTATGATGGAATACTCTGTTGTCCAGCCTTAAATTGGAATTAGTGAAAACTAAAACCCAACCTCAGTTATGTAAATATTTTCATAGCTTTATAACTGAAATATAAATTTCAGAGACTTGTGGTTTGCATAGAAAAATAATTAAATAATTATTTAAAAATTGTTAAAAATGATAATAATGTCTAATGACATTCTTTTTGCAGATAAAGTTTTAATTTCTTCATGCCAATAAGTTAATGTGGTATAATAAAGGGGTTTATAGCATAAATTAAACTCTGTATAAATTCTCTACAGGAGAACTATAGGCATGTTTGGCTTATATTTGTGACAGGTTAAGATATGTTAACTATCGTATCCTATGACTGGAGAAAAGTGATAATTCTGAAGTTTATGAAGGTCATAATGTATGAAGTGACTAATTTATGGTATAAGTAAAATATGAGGCACATTTTTTCTTCAGTGATAAATCTTTTATTGCTGCCTGAGTATTATAAACTTCTTTTTAAAATCTTCACATTGTTTTTAACATTTGTAATTTGGCATTTATGAATTTTTTGTAGTCAATACATTTAATATAATATAAGAAAATTGTATTTAGTTATAAACTACATTTTATGAAATTATTTTCATGGACAAATCTGTTAAAAAGAATTCCACTGATTTGTCCATGCACACTACTCAAAGTTGTACTTCATGTGTCATTTTGTTTCAAAAGGGTTTGAGTTTAAAATCAGTGCAACTTCTAGGATTTTTTGTTATAAAGCAAATAGTATCATTTTCACAAAATTTCAGTTTAAGATTAAATAATTGATCTTATACATATTAATAATTATTAAATTTATATGCTGGACAATGCCCAGAATTATAGAGACATGGATAGTTAATCTGAACCAATTTTTTCCAGCTTATTTGCAGCAAATATACAGATTTGAACATTTCAAAAAGGCGTATTTCTGTTTGCTTAATCATGCTTGGGCTTCTAACTTGAGAAGGTTAGAAATAATAAATCTTTATTTTTTTCCTTTTAAAGACGCTGTGCGGACAGTAATGACTGGGCGTTTCCGATTGCCTGCTGGCAGAACCTACAATGTACGAGCATCTGAGCTGGCACGAGATAGACAGCATACAGAGGTGGTCTGCAATATTCTTCTTCTGGATAATACTGTACAAGCATTCAGACTTAATGTAAGTACAGTATTTGAGAAGCATTCCTATAATACAATATTAATTTCATTTTTAAGCATTTAATAACAAATTTAACACAAAATAGAATAATAGAATTGGGAGAGGTATTTATGTCATCAAATTCGACCTCCACTTTGGTACAGGAAACCTAATGAAAGCATCCTTGACCGCTTGCTATGAGATCTGTGTTTAAATATATCCAGTAAAGGAGCTCTTACATAGTAATTAATTTCATTCCAAATATCCTTAACTATTTGGAATTCTTCCTGGCAGTCAACAAAATCTGCCTTCTTGTAACTTAATACCATTATTTTGTGGCCTACTCTCTAGGATGATAGAATATAGCCACTGCGTTTTCCCAAAAGCATGGTTTTCTTTTAAGAACCTGAAGAGTATTCTTAAATTCCTCACTCATTTTACATGCTTTAGGGCTAAACTTGCCCACTTTCTTTAGCCTCTTTTCCTTTCAAGACTTAGTTTCTGGTCTTCCCATCATTCTTGTTTAATGTATTTTGCATCTGTTAATGTTTTTCTGATTCCTCTTATAGTATTGAGCCATGGTGGCTCAGTGGCGCTGTGGTTAAAATGCAGTTTTGCAGGCTGACTCTGCCCACTGCCAGGAGCTCAGTCCTGATCGGCTTAAGGTTGACTCAGCTTTCCATCTTTCCGAGATCGGTAAAATGAGGACTGAGATTTCTGGGGGCAATATGCTGACACTTAAACTTCTTAGAGAGGGTTACAAAGCTCTATGAAGTGGTATATAAGTCTTAGGTGCTATTGCTGTTGTACCAAGAACATGACACAGTGCTTGATGTGATCTGAGCAGTGCAGAATATAGTGGAATACTACGTTTTCATGATTTGGAAACTCTGCTTTGACTTTTTTTGCCTTCTTGCCAGCACATAAGATTGATGATACATATTCCTGTTCTGATAATCTACCACTAAAAATGACAAGAACAGTAATATGCTATAACAATTGTTTTGTCTTTGTTCTTGTCTCTTTTACTGGGATTTTCTAGAATATTTTTGTTAATTAACATCAACTGTCTCTGTTCTGATCTTGTTAGGAAGAAAAAGAACAGTTTAATATACAAATGATGGTTTAACAATCAAAATGGAAACCAATAGAGTTTCATTTTAGTCTGTTCACAGTGGTTTCACAAAATGGATTAATACGCAAGCAAAATCAGTACTAAAGTTTCTAATTCATAGAATCTATAATCTGTTCAACAATAGATTAACAAAAGTGTCATAGGCAAAGAGTTATTTCTTTTTCTCAGGCTCCTATTTTCAATACACAGTGATAATGGATTGCATTTTTGTTCTATAGACAACAGATAACATTTATATGATTAATTCTTAGGGAACCAAGAGCTTCTTTTTGTTCTTACTGTCATATATAAATAAAAAAATCTATTTGAAAGTATATATGAATTTGATGGTACAATGGTAATTTCAAAATAAGGATTAGAAGTAAGGAAACGGTGATAATAGGAAGAGAACAGCATTGTAAGAAGGCATACAGTATTTATCTTATTTATGTATTTTTCCCTCACATATAATATGTGATGGACATTCATTGAGAATAGAAGAAGCTGTTGAAAACATGAATGAGTAGGAGGTACAGATGGCTGAAGATGTCCCTGCTGAGGATGACCTTGAAGATCAGCCTCCCTAGCAATCTGGGAGGTGTGGAGCTTATCCCTGCTGCTTATGCATTTTAATCCTTTCTGAAACAGACAAGCAGGATTTCTGTCCTTTTTCTTGCCTGTCCTAACCAGTATCTCTTCTCTTTTTCACATTTTCACTCAGTTTCATTTTGCCTTTCTTATATGCAACATAATCTTCTCTTAATCTATTTCAATGAAGTTTTCTTTTTCTTATTTTTGATGAAAGGACAGTGGAGGATATGTGCATAATGTATGTATCTAACGCTAGTTTATTTGTATGCAAGAGAATGATTGATAAATGGTGGGAACATTTTTATAAGTAGAATACTTATTTTATCAAAAATAAAATAATATAATGTCTTATTTCATAAGAGAGCCAGTTTGGTGTAGTGGTTGAGGAACCAAGCTAGAAACCAGGAGATTGTGAGTTCTAATCTCACCTTAAGCATGAAAGCTGGTCGGGTGACTTTGAGAATTCACTCTTAGTCCATAATATCAAGCTCAAGTGACAAGCCAGTTGGCCAATTCCAGTCACAACCAATGCATCAACATTCAGTTGATCTAGTAAACATTCAGTGGACCTTGCTTGGGAGAATATGCTAGGAAGAAAAAAAATATTATTTAACTACCCTTTTTTTTTTTTAACTTTTGCCCCCCTTTTTTGGAATATGATCTTTGGGGGATACACACACACACACACACATTTTTATGCACATTTATATATAAGTGTGCTACATGTATATATTTATTATGGGGGAGGGGGAGAAAATACCAGAAGAGCTTTTAATTAGAGTTGCACCTTTAAATTGACAAGATATAAAAAGGGAGGTTACATAGGATTTCTGTCTCTCTCTCTCTCTCTCTCTCTCTCTCTCTCTCTCTCTCTCTCTCTCTCTCTCTCTCTCTCTCTCTCTCTCTCTCTCTCTCTCTCTCTGTGTGTGTGTACACATACATACACACATACACATAATATGCATTTCTGTCTCCAAATTAAAATCAAAATCTTCTCCTGTCAAGTAAATTCAGTTCTTTGGGAGGGTGATGCTTCATAACTCTAGACTCTCAAGTCTCTTTTCTGATTTTTCATTAGTGAATGTTGATTACTTTTTTCCAGTGGAATCTTTGCAGTGTTGCCAATTTGCAAATTCTTATTGATCTTGTTTAAAATACTGACCTAATTTTAGTTTTTTGAAAGATATTTCTTAACCTGTTAATAGTCAATATGTCTTGTTCCTTTTTTATGTCTTTTTCCTCTTTTACTTATTTGGTTATATTATGCTGGTTAAATAAATTTAAGACATTTTAAAGACATGAGGATTACACTCTATGATAGCATGTTTTACATTTCTTAATATGTCAAGAGGACAGAAGGAATATTACACTTGTGTTCTGAGGATCTGCACATATACACTGACACTTATATGGCTCATCTACTTAGAAGCACACAAAGAGAAGGTGTGGCTCAGTTTTGAGACTCTCTGGGAAGTATTTATGGAATATATAAAGATGTGAGTTGTCTGTGGCATTTGTTGAATTAAAACAACAAGGCCCCTCCTATTTGGGTGGAAGTGATGCTAATATTACCTAGGCCCTTCTATTCCTCCCACTCCTGTCTACTATCTAATTTTTAATTCTTATGGGTTGAAATTGGCAGGGTGTGTGTTCATATGCAGAACTATCCTTGCAACCTAAAGTGATTTCTCTCTGACTTTTTTTTTAATTAAAAAGTTTTATAAAAATTACAATATCAACCCACCCAAAAAACCCCCTCTCCCTCCCCCAATTCCCAGAACTGAATACAGGGTTACAAATATGATAATCATAATCTAACTAACATTACCAACTATATAAATAACCAAATCCATAATGCACTTTAATTTCCCTTTAACATAAACAAATTAAAAGTAAACATAATAATAATGAGAACATAAACAAATTAATATCCTAATTATTAAACAATACAGTCCCCAAATAGTTAAACAATGCTAATACTAAAAATAATAATAATATCATAATAATAGTCTAAAATTCACTCATAGGCTAAATGAAACTTTTTAGTCCCATATTTATTCTAAATATAATTTATCCATCTTCTCCAGACCGAAATATATCTTTCTTGTGAATGATCCTTCAAATAAGCAGAAATCTTAGCCATTTCTGCTAAATTTGACACTTTAATCGTCCATTCTTCTATAGTAGGCAAGCAATCCTTCTTCCAATATTGCCCTACTAATAACCTTGCGGCTGTTATCAAATTCAACATCAAATTAATTTCTTTAGCATCACAATCTGTAATAACACCCAATAAAAATAATTATGGAGTAAACTTTATCTTTCTCTTTAAAATCTTTAAAATGTTTTTATAAAACATTTTATAAAAATTTTCTCTTAAATTTTCTGCCTGGGTAAATTTTACATTTCTGACCCAAATTACCTCCCATGTATCCAATGGAATCGGTTCTTGAATATTTTGAGCCCACTTTACCATACAATCTTTAACTAATTCCGTTTCCGAATCCATTTCTATTAAAACATTATAAATTCTCTTTATATGCACTTGGTTTTGATCTTTAATCTGTTTTACCAAATTCTCATCCATTAAAGTAATACCAGCCTTTTGATCTAACTTCCACCTAACTAACAATTGATTATACTGAAACCAAGATTGTACCATATTTTCTTGCTTTAACTCAACTAATGATTTTAATTGCCAATCATTCCCTACCAATCTAAGTAATTCCTTATAAGAAATCCTATCCAAATTCACACCCCTGGATACCCCCTCTATCGCGTGTCCAGGAATCCCCCAAATTGGTGTTTTATCATTTAACCTATAATAATACTTCTTCCAGACACGCAATAAAGCACTTCTTAAAATATGGGATTTAAAAACCTGATCTACTTTTTTATCATAAATTAAATATGCATGCCATCCATATAGTAAATCCCATTCCTCAAGAGAAAGTATATTTATATTTGTTAAATTAAGCCAATCACTAATCAATGTTAAAGCCACTGCATCATAATATAATTTCAAATTAGGCGCCTTAAGTCCGCCTCTTTCCCGTACATCTTGTATAATCTTGAACTTAACTCTTGGTTTTTTGCCCGCCCAAATAAATTTATTAATACCCTTCTGCCATTCATCCAAATTGGCATCTTTTTTCAAAATAGGTATCATTTGAAACAAAAAAAGAAACTTTGGAAGAACATTCATTTTAACCGCTGAGATTCTCCCCAACAAAGATAATTGTATTATTTTCCAATCATTTAAATCCTTTTGCACTTTTACCCATAATGTCTCATAATTATTTTTATATAATTTAAC